ACCGAGGCGAAAAACCTGATCTAACTACTTCTACCAAACACTAACCATACATCAGGGTGATCAATCAAAATATGCTGGTTCTTCCTCTAATGAGATCCTGATCCTTAGTAATTATATAATATATATATATATATATATATATATATATATGAATCTATCTAAATGCACATGGAAACGTCTTAGTCTCCTCATATCTAGTCTTAACACACCAGAAGAAGACATGAATAAGAAGAAACCCTATATCTAATCATCACTTTAGCCAAAATGCAGATATGAGTTATGGAAAGCTGGTGGCAAGAAAATCAAGGAGTTTCTGGGAAGGTGGGGACTGGCGAACACTCCTTCTTCTCGGCAAGTGGCGGCGGCAAAGCTAGGTCGGCATCAGTAAAATTGGTCGGCGGCAGTAAAATTGGTTGGCGACGGCTCCTCCTCTTCTCTTTTTTTTTTCTTTGGTGTCTAAGGTTTTTAAAATGAAAACTAGATTCTAACCCCGTGCATCCGCACGGGAATATTTTTAATTGTTTAACGAATTTTGTAATATAATTTGTGTTTTTGAGTTTAGATATAATTATTTTTATAAATATATTTTTTAATAAGCAAAAATATTGATTTTTGTGTTTAGATATATTTTTATAGTATTAAAATTAACTATGATTATAAAAATATAATTTTAACCCGTCCGCTAATATTAATTCAAAATGAACTATTATAAAAACATAATTCTAATTTTTCCGTTCATATTACCGTATAATATAAATATTTGTTAAAAATTTGAGATGTATTAACAGTATTATTTAGCATTATAGTTTTCTAAAATTTAATCAACGAAGGGAGTGTATAACTGGTTTTTCAAACCACATTATAGTGTATGCAATAATTTTTAATTTTTTTATGTTTTGATTTTGTATGAAAAATATATTTTCGATATACATGTATAATTCAAAATTAGTGATATTAGTTACCAAAATATTTTTAACCCGGTTTTTATATATATTTTTAGTTCTATAAATTTTAAAAAATATATTTTTAATATTTAAATTATACATTTGAATTTTACCTATGATTTTATCATTAATTTGTAAATAAATCATAATCGTAAATATATTATATAAACAACATAAACATCATATCATTTACATCATTATAAATATTTTCTATTTCAAATATGACCATTATTTTTCATATGTGAATTTTTTTTTTCAAAAATTCTAGATATTTTTGATAAAAATGTTTAATAGTATAGAAATTATTTAAATTAGAATCTTTAAATCAAATCTAAATTAATATCTGATTTATTATTTTTAATCAAATCAAATTAAATATAAATTACCTATATTTAAGGAACTCTAAAAATATTTAAATTAATAACTAATTTTCGAAATTAAATATAAATAATTATTAAAATTATTTTAAACACTTAAAAAAAATTAGGAGTGTTTGGAAGCAAGTACTAAATGTAATTCTGTTTTAATATAATAAATAAAGCTCATTCTCATTTAACTCCCTATTTATATTAGGATTGTTGGAGTGAACCTGAGCTTGCTAGATCTGAGTTTACTGAACCTCTAAATGGGCTTGGCTTGGGATATTACAACCTTAATGCATTCTTATCAAGGCTAACCAGATAGTACTTATATAAAAAAAAATACTTACGTACAGTAAAATTTCTATAAATTAATAATATGAGGACCACACTATTTTATTAATTTATCGTGATATTAATTAATTAATAGTCTATTGAAAAAAGTTATTTTTCGCCTATTTTTTCTAAAATTTTCTTTCAAATGATGTTATATTTAAGAATTAAAATTCATATGCTTATAAAATGATATGCATAAATTGAAAATTATAATAACTACTCATAGCAATTCTAATAGAATAATTATTTCTATTTGTTAACTGTGGATTGAATTATCTATATAAGAATATAAATGTTCATTAATACAAAATTTATAAAAAAATATGGCTATTATCCTTAATGTTGGTGTTATAATTGAAGACAATATTATAATATATTTCAAAAAATTTACGCGTAAAAAAAATATTTATCAGATCTAACATTTTTTACAAATTTTGAATGGAGATAAAAAAAATTAACATTAAAAGTTATTGATGTAAATAAGTAAAGAGATGATTTTTAATAAAATTTTAAATTTAAATAAAAATAAAAAAAATAATTATATTTTATTATATTATATCTTATCTATATACAGAAAATTTTAAAATTATTAATTTATGTTTATACTGAGACCATATATTTACATAAAGATTTAAAAAATTTATTATTTTATTATTTTATTATTTTATTGAATTTGATGGATTTTTATACTGATTCAATTCAAGATCAAAAAATTTAATAATTTAGTGTAATTATTAATCTGCAAGTTAAAAAATTCATAAAGGTTCTATTGTTCGAAAAGTAAGGAAAAAAATTCTGTTTTATACTTCTCTATACCGCCAATAACTTTTGGGCCAAGATTAGTGAACTAAGGTTTCTCTTCGGTTCGGTTTTGTGTAGATTGAAGATGTGTACCGATTTGAAAACCGAATTTTATGTTGGTTTAGATTGATTTGGTTCAGTTTCATTCTTCGATTCCACTGCCAAAACAGAGATTCATCAGAGGATTCTTCTTCTCTTCAACATCATCGAATTCGAAGTTGGAAGAGAGACTGAGGGAAGAACGTAGTCGATCCCGGTGGGATTCGGAGGATGATGCTGGATCTGGGTCCGTTCTCAGATGAGAAGTTCGATGCTAAGCGGTGGGTTAACTCGTCGTGCCAAGCGCGTCACCCGCAGGACTCGCTCGAGAAACACCTCGTGGATCTGGAAATGAAGCTCCAGATTGCCTCCGAGGAGATCGGAGCGTCTCTCGAGGAGCAGAGCGGAGGCGCTCTCCTCCGTGTCCCTCGCGCCACTCGCGACGTCTTGCGCCTCCGTGATGATGCGGTGTCTCTGCGTGGTTCTGTTGCCGGAATCCTTCAGAAACTCAAGAAGGTACGCATTGTTCTGCTTCTTTGGATTCTGTAATCTGCACTTATTCTCCTTTTGTTTTGGATTCCGAATCTGAGCTTCTGCTTGGATCTCCTTAGCTTCACGAAAGAGGAACATATTATACTAATCTGATTCAACCATAATTCTGTGTATTTTCAGTGATTATAGTTCTTTCCATTTGGTCAATCTAGCTGATTTAGGTGTTCTTTAAACTTTGCTACTATTTTTTGTTTGGTAATATGAAAATTGGTATTTACAGGCAGAGGGTTCTTCAGCAGATTGTATAGCTACACTTGCTAGAGTGGACACTGTCAAACAGAGAATGGAGGCTGCTTACAAAACACTGCAGGTCAGTATGCATAGTAATTTTCCGAATCCGTCATGTAGACACTTGGTTCGATCCGCTAATTGATTCTCTTCTTTCTTGTAATGTGGACAGGATGCTGCTGGGTTAACTCAGTTAAGCTCGACGGTTGAGGATGTTTTTGCTAGCGGTGATCTTCCTCGTGCTGCAGAGACTCTTGCCAGCATGAGAAATTGCTTGTCCGCTGTTGGAGAGGTATTACTAAATATTAACTTGAGCAGTGTAACGGTTTTAAGTCTTGTGTCGTCACTCACTTTAACTCCAATTTTGGTCAACAGGTTGCAGAGTTTGCTAATGTTAGGAAGCAACTAGAAGTGTTGGAGGATAGGCTGGAGGCAATGGTGCAGCCACGTCTTACTGATGCATTAACATATCACAAGGTTGTGAATCCGTTTATATAGAGAACACAAGTAATTTTAGGTTGTTGTCTTTGTTGGTATTATTGGACTGAAAAGCCTTTCCCCAAAACTTGGCAGGTTGATGTTGCTCAAGATTTGCGAGGAATTCTCATCCGGATTGGGAGATTCAAGTCTCTGGAGTTGCAATATTCAAAAGTCCGTCTAAAGCCAATAAAACAACTCTGGGGGGATTTTGACACGAAACAAAGGGCCAACAAGCTTGCCAGTGAGAGAAGTGAAAGCCAGAGGTTGTCTAGCGGCGATGAGTTTCAATTGACATCATTTGCCAGTTGGCTGCCAGGCTTTTACGACGAGTTGCTTCTCTATCTTGAGCAGGAGTGGAAATGGTATTGTGATTCCATATACAGTAACTAAATATAGGCCCTTCCTGTAATTGTATGTGAGACCTTTATAACCAATCGTTGGATTTTGCTTTCATGATTGTTCAGGTGTATGGTTGCCTTTCCTGATGACTACATGACTCTCGTCCCAAAGCTGTTGGTTGAAACCATGGGAGTACTGGGGGCTAGTTTTGTTTCTCGTCTTAACCTTGCAACAGGAGATGCTGTTCCTGAAACAAAAACACTCGCTAAAGGTTGGATACGATGTCACTGCATTTTGATTACAGATTTACTTCTTAGACCAATCCTTTTACCAAGCTAGATCTGGATTGCGTTGCTTCCTTGTTGGTTCTACTCCACTGTCCTCATGCTTTGCTAGATAGTTCTAAAATATTAGTTTCGTCTGCCTTTACATGAGCTATTGTTTAGGGTTGTTCTTGTTTGGTTTGTTATTTACGTGAATGGTAGCCCGTGTCATGAATTTGTCTATTTGCAAGAGAGGCTTGAAGAAAGTATGAACTTTTCGTAAAATACAATTTATTTGTAACCTTCATGTATTGATTGCAAATTTTCCAAACAATTAAAGGATTATTTTTGTTTGTCTCACATCTATTATATTGAGGAGAGTGCTGACACTTCTGATATATTTATTGAAAAGGTGTGATGGATCTATTATCCGAAGACTTGCCCAAGGGTATCGATATGCAGACCAAGCATCTTGAGGCCCTGATTGACCTGCACAACGTAACTGGGTCCTTTGCAAGAAATATTCAGCACCTGTTTGCTGAATCGGAACTTAGGGTCTTGATAGATACACTGAAGGCCGTGTACTCACCCTTTGAATCCTTCAAGCAAAAGTAAGTTTTCATGTTCTGTAGTTCTCTGGTCCGCATGTCCTTTGTCCATTTATAGCATTTATGGATTGTCTCATTCTTCGATGGTTTTTCAAGGCTGCTTGTGACATTAAAATTGATAATGCTTTAGGTATGGGAAGATGGAACGCGCTATTTTATCCTCCGAGATCGCAGTGGTGGATCTGAGAGGAGCCGTTACACGTGGTGTTGGAGCTCAAGGAATTGAACTCAGCGAAACAGTGCGTAGAATGGAAGAGTCTATTCCCCAAGTTGTTGTTCTTCTTGAAGCTGCGGTTGAGAGGTGTATCGGCTTCACTGGCGGCTCAGAGGCAGACGAGCTGATACTTGCACTAGACGACATAATGTTGCAGTATATCTCTATGCTTCAGGAAACACTCAAATCTTTGAGAGTTGTGTTTGGAGTAGATGGTACAGGTGATGGAGTTAGTTCCAAGAAAGAGGGAAGTGCAGAGAAAAGGGAGAGCTCTCGCAAGATGGACTTGACTTCAAATGAGGAATGGTCCATTGTCCAGGGAGCTTTGCAAATACTTACTGTTGCTGACTGTCTAACGAGCAGGTCTTCTGTATTTGAAGCTTCTTTGAGAGCTACTCTAGCTAGACTGAACTCCAGCTTGTCTATCTCATTATTTGGCACAAATTTGGATCAGAACCTGTTACATTTGAAAAGCGAACAAACAGCTGGAGATTTGTCTATGGCTGGACGAGCATCCCTGGATGTTGCAGCTATTCGGTTGGTTGATGCTCCAGAGAAGGCTCATAAACTCCTAAACCTGTTGGAGCAGGTACTGAAAAAAAAAACCACAAAGATTCTGAATTTTTACTATGCAATAACCATCTATATCGTTCTTTCTTTCATTTGTTTTTGTTGCAGTCCAAAGATCCACGGTTCCATGCACTTCCTTTGGCATCTCAGAGAGTCGCTGCATTTGCTGATACAGTCAACGAACTTGTCTATGACATCCTCATATCAAAAGTCAGGCAACGCCTTGGTGACGTATCTCGCCTACCAATCTGGTCATCAGTCGAGGAACAAACCGCTTTTCCTCTACCAAACTTTAGCTCTTACCCTCAGTCTTATGTCACAAGCGTTGGAGAATATCTCCTTACTTTGCCTCAGCAGCTTGAGCCTCTAGCTGAAGGAATCTCAAGCAATGGCGATTCAAACAACGAAGATGCTCAGTTTTTCGCAACCGAGTGGATGTTCAAGGTAAAATTCTATTTATAGCTTTTATAGTGTCAACCTATAGACCAAGACAAGACTGTTAACCATTGAAACAAAATATAAAACAGGTAGCAGAAGGCGCTACGGCTCTGTACGTGGACCAACTAAGAGGAATCCAATACATATCAGACCGAGGAGCACAACAACTCTCTGTAGATATAGAGTATTTGAGCAATGTGCTTTCGGCTTTGTCTATGCCTATCCCGCCTGTTCTTGCAACTTTTCAGACGTGTTTGGCTACACCAAGAGATGAGCTCAAAGATGTGATGAAATCAGAAGCTGGTAGTGAACTTGATTTCCCTACGGCTAATCTTGTCTGTAAGATGCGTCGTATCAGTTTCGATTAAAGTCTTTTCGATTTTGGTGGTCCAAACTCAAACGTACTTATGGTGTCTACGAGAGTATGCTAACAAATTGGTTCGGCCATTGTCATATCTTATTATACAACTCATTGTGAAAAACTTTTGATGCGTTATATATAAAGACAAGTTTCACACGAGTCAAATTCAAGTTTTAAAAACAAAATTCTCACTAGTAGACTAGAAACCGTTTAGTTATAGTCGAGCTAGGTCCATAAGTTAAACTAAAAAAAAATATCGAACAAATGAAATGTTCTTTTTTTTTTTGTTTGTTTTATGCTGAACAAGACAATTCTACAAAAGACAGTCCGTTCCACAACAATTTACAATCACGATGAATAGATCCATTTGTACCAACACGATGAATAATTCCATTTCTACCAACAAATTTACAACATGCTATCTACTCCCAAGGCTGGATCTGGGAGAGCGTGATGAAACATCCGCATACAACCCCAAAAAATTTTCTTGGTTATTTACGAATTTTTCAGCTCTCAAATCACAAAAAAAAATATTTATTCTTAAATTGTTTCTAGCCCTCAAATTCTCAGATGTCTACTCCACAACTATCTATTTTATTTGTACCATATTTTATATTTCTTTAGCTTCCATTAATCTTAAAAATTGTGTTTTCTGAGTATTGTATATAGATGAACTTTTTAGGCAACCGGTTCTTGTAAACCAAAAAACTAGAAAAAAAAAACCGAACTTATATCCGGATTGAACAGCCTTCTCGTTCTCGATTCGAAACGGTATGGACCGAGATGGAAAAATTAGACACAGACCGTAATTCAATAAAATCGTTAATAGTCTGGTTTAAATGGTATATCATCATTTCTAATTAGAATACGATCGTGTAATTAATCTTGGTTTTTTTGTTGCCTAGGTGGACATGATTATATGGACTTAGCCAATACAGTTTATCATCAATAGACGACGGCCTTCGCCGATTTCGTTGGCGAACGAAACCCTAATCATCACTCCTTCCTCACTTTTTGTTCGTCATCTCCAGAATTTGACTCTGCAATTTCTTGTTTTTTCTCTCTATTCTGCTCGATAACTTTCGTCGCTCACCATGGATGCTCAACGAGCTCTTTTGGACGAACTTATGGGTGCAGGTGAGTTTTCGAAGAGCAATCTAATTTTCAGCTCGAAATTGAAGCTTTGTTTTTGTTTTAATGTGAATATTTTGGTTGAATTTTTGTTTAATCTCTCGATTTTTGCAGCTCGTAATTTGACCGATGAAGAGAGAAGAGGTTTTAAGGAGATTAAGTGGGACGATAGAGAGGTCTGTGCATTCTATATGGTTCGATTTTGTCCTCATGACCTCTTCGTCAACACCAAAAGCGATCTTGGTTAGTCACTATTTCAAACTCCTGCTTTGCCTTAGCCTTTTTTCTATTTTTTTTCTATGATCTTAGTTCTATTTTTTGGGTTCGTGGTGTTCCTATTTTCAGGAGCATGCTCGAGAATTCATGATCCAAAGCTTAAAGAGAGGTGAGAGCTTGATTTGAATCTCCATTATGTTTATTTGGTTTTCAGAAATCCGGAAACGTTACATTTTATGAATCTGAATCGGTTCCTGTGAGATAGTTATGCCTTATTTGAATAAGCAATTTCTCGAAAAACCCATTGATTCTAGTTAGATAGTTCTTTCGTTTTGTTGGTTCTAATGTTTAAGTTCGTCTTAATATGAAGCCTACTTAAGAGAGTGCCTTTTCACTCAAATAATCTCATTAAGTCTAAATTTTGGTGTTTTTGGCTTTTGCTTAATCTCAGCTTCGAGAATTCTCCGAGGCATGATTCATATGTTCCTAAATTCGAGGCTGAGCTTGTTCAGTTTTGCGAGAAGCTGGTGCGTAATGCTTGCCATTCCTGTTACCTTTTTTTGGTTAGTCTCGATTTTTATCCTCTACGCTAAGATTTGGAATTGGTTACAGGTGAATGATCTTGACAGGAAGGTAAGGCGTGGACGAGAACGCCTTGCGCAAGATATTGAACCTCCTCCACCACCTTCTCTATCTACAGAAAAGGCTGAACAGTTGTCTGTTCTGGAGGAAAAAGTTAAGAACCTTCTGGAACAAGTGGAAGCACTTGGTGAAGAAGGCAAAGTCGATGAAGCTGAAGCGCTAATGAGGAAGGTACTTTTCTTTAAACCATTGACCATGCTGTTGAGTTTCACCGAAGCTAAAAAAAAGGAGTTTCCAAGTTGTGACAATCATAATGAGCGCTTATCTTGTGAAGTCACACCTTTACTATGTTCATAAATCTTGTGCATTGAGCCCTTATCTTTTGGCAACTCTGGTAGGTTGAAGTGCTTAATACCGAGAAGACAGTGTTGCTACAACGACCAAATGACAAGGTATTAGCGATGGCACAGGAGAAAAAGATGGCACTGTGTGAGGTTTGTGGTTCATTCCTTGTGGCTAATGATGCTGTAGAAAGGACTCAGTCTCATGTCACTGGGAAGCAGCATGTTGGCTATGGCATGGTCCGTGATTTTCTTGCTGAACAAAAAGTAAGTCCCTGAACGAACATTTTAAATCTTGCTTCATATAGTTTGTTATTCCACGGGAAGATGGGGTTTACCGATGCTTGTTTTTCGATTGTAGGCTGCTAAAGATAAAGGAACGGAAGAAGAAAAGCAAGTCAGAGGAAAAGAAGCAGACGATAAGAGGAAACCTAGGGAGAAGGAAAGCGAGGTTAAGAGGAGTGGTTCTAGTGATAGAGAAAGATATCGTGATAGGGATCGAGACAGAGATGGTGACAGACACAGAGACCGTGGTAGAGATCATAGAAAGTCTTATGACAGGAGATCAAGGAGTGGGAGAGAAGGTCGTCATGATCGAAGCAGGTCACGGTCTCCTCATGGAAGGTCTGGTCACAGAAGAGTATCGAGAAGCCCCATTCGACAGTACTAGTTTGAGATGAAAACGTGTTGTCTCTGTGGAGCCCCAGGAACTTTGCAAACACTCATGAGGTAGAAATTGTGACAATCCCCTTAGTTTCATGAGCAATGTGTGTTTTCTTTTTTTAAAAAAATTCATGGATAAAAAATTGTCTTTCTACCCGGTTCACAGCTATTCTAAGAGTTTGAAACATCATCGGTTATTTGTTAAGAGGTCAAAAGCGTTGAGGTAAAACTGTATTAACTTTTACACTTTTCATTGTATCTCTCGACGACTTATGATGTTATACATTTTGGCACCCCTTCCTGGTTTGATATGATATTCTGATTTAAAAGACTACAGAATCGGGAATATTGGGGCTCGAATGACACATATACTATTTGAGGTAACAAATATATGACAGAACTCATCCTCATTAGAAGTTGGGTTCAGTTTTTAGTTTGAATTTTGTTTGTTTTCTTCGAGTTCTCTCTCTGTCTGCACTTAGGTGTATACGCAGGAGGAACAGTAATCTTTGGCTATGGCTTCGATGACAGTATCCTCCAAATCAGCAAATGGCACCATTTCGTTTGTCTTCCTCGAAATCTTTTCATTAATGCAATTTAGTAAAGAGAGACAAAACTTTTCTACTATCTGTACATCTACAAGAAAGTATTTGCAAAATAAAGTATTAAATACTTATTGGGCTTTATTCTTTGTTGAGATAGACTGAATATTATATCATAAGGCATGTGTTTACTCTAATTCAAATGTCAATGTGTGTGGGACGCAAAGCACAACTATAAAACCAGCAGCAACGAAACTTTTCTCATCTCTCAACATCTCTCAGTTATATTCTAGTTCTGGTAATTCACCAAACTGACCTGAACGAAATATTTTTGCCACGGCGATTTTGTGTTGAAGGTGACAGAAGGCGCGATGGAGATATCAACGGAAATTGTTTGTGTTAAGTTTGTGTTCATTTGTGTTAGGTTTTAAGGAAAGACACTCCTTTAATATATAGATCTTTTGTATTAATAAATTTCATTTTATTGTTTGTTTTTGGAATGTAGAATGTAGTAATCAGATTGATGACTGTAAAGAACAAAGAATCTAGTAAAAATTTTGATTGTCTTTTATCTGTAAGGTCATGGGTTCGAATCTCTTTTTTATGTTATGTTGTTTAAAAAAGTTTCAAAACTCGTGAGACTAGCCTAGGTGTTTAGACCATCTCCAATCCATACATCTATTTTTTTCTCTAAAATAGAGGAATTCTAAAATAGAGGTGCATTTGTCTCCAATGTCTACCTCTTTTTTCTTCTCTAAAAAGAATATTCTCAGTATATTCTTTTTGTTATTTATTTTTAACACCCTTCATTAATAAAATTTATGAATTGACTCCATTTATTTCTTTTTTTTACAAAAATTCACATAAATTATAATAATACTAACTTTTTGATAAATAATATTTATGAATTAATTTATTTTATTTTTTATAAAAGTTTCCATAAATTATAGTAATACTAATCTTTGATTAATAAAAATTATAAATTTAGCCTACTTATTTTACTTTTTACAAAAGTTTCTACAAATTATAATAATACTAGAAGTAAAAATTCATAAATCAAAGAAAATATTACATTACATCATAATAAAAAACATAATAGTTTAATCTTCACCACTAATGTATTTTTTCCTACTGATGTGTTTTTCCCACAAATAATTGTTTATTTTTATGTATTTATAATTTGTAATTCCTTTTTTGTAGTTTAATTTGCAAATGAGAACTTTTATATTTAATTATATAATATGTTTTAAATTTGTTTCAAAACTATAACCAAAATTATCACATTTATATTCAATTAAATATATAAAAATTTATATTTATGCATAAATAGAAAAATTTAAAAGTTAAAAGAGTACTTTACAAATAAAGAAGTTCAACTCTATTATAGAGGGAAAAAAAAATAAATCTCTCTATATTTGAAGGAAAAAATAGCAATCTCTATTTTAAAGGTGAAAATAAAGGTGAATTGGAACATAAACTCTATTTTTACCTCTACAATAGAGGTGGGTTGATGATGTCTTTAAATAAGTGGTTATTGCTGGTATTTTTCGTAATTCTCTCATAGCCGGTTTCTAAAGAGCAAATGATTTATCTTGAAGGTGTAGGCATAAGAGCCTAAAACAAACTATCAAATTGTGGTTCATATATCATATTAATCGAGCAGTTATATATTATATCAATACTATATTAGATTCCGCATAATACGCAGAAAAATAATAAAATTTTAAATTTTAAAATTAATTATCTGCATAATTATAATTTGTATAAGTAAAATCTAAATTAAAATTTTATTAAATTATTTACAGTCTATGTTTGATGATTCACAATTAAGAAATTGGAAATTATACTGATTCATATTATTCATAAATCGGATAAAATCTCTTTAAATAACTGTTAAGGTTCCAAAAAACATAATTTTCATGACAGTTTTTGTTTTTTTACTTATTTTATTTTTCTATTTTCATTTAATAATTATATTTATATTTTATTTTTTTAAGTAAAAACTAAAAATAAAAAGTTTATATTATTATATTAACACATGTCAAAATCTTAATTAACCGTGATAAATGTCACAATCATTTTTAAAATCCTATATATCGCGTCCATGTTAAAAAATTCTCTTTAACATCTCGGTAAAGTTTTTCCATTGACAGCTGAATGTTATATAATAAGATGTCATGTTTTTTTATATCATATAAATACTAACTATGACGAATTTGTTTGTTTTTGCTGAGATACTATTAAAATAAATGTTTTATAGAATATTTTTAAAAAAAAATTGTGAAAAAAGGAAATCAGCTTTTTTCAATAGATAATAATAGCACTCTCACACATAGTTTATTTTCTAAAATATAGCTTTCCTAACCATTTTAAAACTATTAAAGAAATAAAAAATGTAAAAAAAAATATATAGCATTAAAAATAGACTGTAGAAATGATTTTAGAAAACTATATTGAAAATTAAAAACAAGATAATTAGTTCATAACAAGTTGTTGGAGTTAAAAAACCATATCTCTAAATTAATCTGATATAAACCAAGATTGATCCAATTGATTCTAATTTACGATGGTTTGTACCAAGAAAACCAAATCCGATAAGAGCTTCTGGCCCCTAGGCCTACGTAAGTCCGACAAGAAAGGTCGGCAGAACCTTTGGCAAATATAATTTTTTTTATTGATCTGGAAAGAAGAAAACTTTCTAAAAATCCTAGTTTTAAAGAGAAAAGGAAAATTTCTGATGAAACTGACTAGAGCCTTACAAAAGAGAGGAGGGAGCATAATTCAAGACACCCATATAAACTTGGAAAGACTACAGGATTGAGAGCTCACGTCTTTAAACTTTTAGTTCCAAATTCTTCCTAACTTTCGTTCGTTCGTTCGTCAATTTCCCATGAACTAATTCAGTTGGTATTTTTTTAAACTCATTTTATATTAAGAAAATCAAGATTCTAATTAGAAATACTGTTTTACCCCTTGATATTACATATCAACACAAGTAATAATATTTAGAAATGAAGAAAAAAAATTATACTAAGAAGTACACTTAAATAATTGAATTAACCAAACTGTAAAAGAAACATCATTGTTGTCCTGCCCTAGGTGGTACGTGGCAGCGAATCACAGATAATAGCCATTTCACAACATAAATCTCTTGTTAGCCGTTAGGGAACTCAGGTTTACTTTTTGAGATTAATCCAATAACCATTTTATTGGGCTAAATGATGCTGCTTGGGTTAGAGATCGCAAATGAAGTTTTAAATTTATAAACACTAGTTCATTTAAATGCATAGTTGTACGGTGTAATACTTAAGGTTACGATCCACAAAGAAGTTGTCTAATCTATAAAAACTTCAAATTCGAATTAGTAAGCAGATTAATAAATTCAATGAGTTTTTATAGGATTTTGGTTTTAAAGAAAAGAAAAAACAAAGTAATGAAAAACTCGTAGACCTAAATCGATATGGACATAAAAATAAAAGAAGAATTGGGCTGGTAAAGATATCTAGGGTATGCTCGATTTATGCTAGGGTTCTAAAGCTCATAGGGGATTGACGCAGACTCCCTCTTCTAATGGATATATATGTATCTTCTAATTAGCCTACAAGTAGTATATTTTTATCTATTTCTAAGTATCTGCATGGAACTAGAATAGACATAAATTTGATTAGCCAATTCTCGTCATCCTAATCAATTAATCACTAAAACTCGACTAGTAGCTTTCGTCTCTGGCCGCGAGTAAGATCATGCATTAACAGAACTGAATTCATTCTTGCTCACATCTTCTCTGTAGGTAGCTTTCGTCTCCTATAGCGACTATGTTCTTATAAAGCTATGTACGGCAATCAGATACATCACTCTTGTGGCTCTGATTAATCTTAGGTTCAGAGATTAGTTCATGACTCTAACCTCATGCATTAGGTACAACTTAGAAGAGATGAGATCTAGAATATGGCTAAGAAAATTAACAATCCTAATTGAACATATAGATCCCTTCGATGGATCCTTTAAATCTAACTACTTTACTACTGTAACATGATGCAAGAAAAGAAAAATATAATAGATAGATGCATAAACTAAAATAGATAGATAAAAAAAAAAGATAAAACTAGGGTTCAAGGGAAGAATCTCTATCCCCCTAACCTAAACCTAAGAAATAAAAATTTGGTGCTCAGAAACTCATTACAGGAGCACACACCCGATATAGAGCTGCTAAGATAAGTATTTATAGGTCTTCAAGTCTTCTAGGTCGTCCATACGGTTTTCTCTGAGGAAAATTGTGAAATGGGCTTGATGTTTCGCCTTAGGGCCGAGATAAGATACACTGTGGGTGAGAGTCCTCCGGGACTGGTGGAATGATGGTCCACCACGGGTGAGAGGTGTGGGATGCGGCGAGAAGGCTGTTTGCTGCGGCTCAGCTGAATGTTAGGCTGGTTGACAAGATATTTTGATCTTCACGTATCTTTTGATTGAACCATTGGATTGTCTTCAAGTAAAGCGCTACAGAAATTCAGCTGGATCCTCTTGAATGTCTCCAAATTTGAGTTAGATCAGACGGTGAGAAAGTTTTCATTTGAGACTGAAATTCTGACGGTTTGACTCTGAACTGAAAATATGGTTTTTTTCCATTTTGCAATGTTTTTTCTTAAATATCCTGAAAAAAGTCTTGAAACTACAAATATAGGAAAATCATAAATAAAAAAATTATAACTAATTAAAACCTTTGAAATAGGATAAGAAATCTTTAGTAAAAATGGATAAAAATACAGTGTTAGCACTAAACTCGAATCAAACCAAAAAATCTAGAATTCAAATTCTATAATCTTTGCCAAGAAATGTCGTTTCCATTGAATTTTTCTAGAAAAAAACAAGTTTATTGTCTCATATACTCTTTCTTTTCTCTTTTTCAGTTATATATTTTTGTTTTTGTTTGTCATTATACTCCATCACATTGGTTCCAAGTCCTTGTACTTGGGCTATTGAGTGTTGATGGTTGCGGCTACAGGTTTGTATTCACTTGGCATATACAAAGGTTGCCAAAATCAGTATTATGTTCTTTAGGGGTTTTGTGTTGGCATTGTTTTGCTATTTCAA